ATTTCGAATTTTTCGATTTCAGTGAATAACTCCTCGATTTTCATGCTCCCCTGATACTTTTCGAAAAATTTCGAATTTTTCGATTTCAGTGAATAGCTCCGCGATTTTCATGCTCCCCTGATACTTTTTAAAAAATTTCAAATTTTTCGATGTCAGTGAATAACTCCTCGATTTTCATGCTCCCCTGATACTTTTCGAAAAATTTCGATTTCAGTGAATAGCTCCGCGATTTTCATACTCCCCTGATACTTTTCGAAAAATTTCGAATTTTTCGATTTCAGTGAATAGCTCCTCAATTTTCATACTCCCCTGATACTTTTCGAAAAATTTCGAATTTTTCGATTTCAGTGAATAGCTCCTCGATTTTCATGCTCCCCTGATACTTTTTGAAAAATTTCGAATTTTTCGATTTCAGTGAATAGCTCCGCGATTTTCATACTCCCCTGATACTTTTCGAAAAATTTCGAATTTTTCGATTTCAGTGAATAGCTCCGCGATTTTCATACTCCCCTGATACTTTTCGAAAAATTTCGAATTTTTCCATTTCAGTGAATAGCTCCTCGATTTTCATACTCCCCTGATACTTTTTGAAAAATTTCGAATTTTCCCAACTTCATTCTTCTGAGAATTCCACCGCAATGAACTTGGAATAGATACGTGATTGAGTTCATAACATTGTCGGAACTTTTCTTGGATTTTTCGATTGGGGTAACGTGTCCCTGTCACCTCCTTGATCTACATATAAACCTGACTGGTTGAATGAAGGTAGTAAATAGTGGTAATTAACCGTAAATTAAATAATGAGTAGAGTAAAAAACGAGAGTGCACCGTGAGGATTTTATGGCGTAAGACCACTGGTTGTACTCGATCTTTCGACCTGGAAACCTTCATGATTTCAGTGTGCGGTCAGAAAGAGCAATACCACGACCGCGAGTATAACCAGTCAAGCAGAAAGAGTCTGTACTGAGGACTAGATGTTGTCTAATCTTGGTGCCCTCATCTACTGCATTTTTCATCTCTATCTCAAGTTTCCGGGCGCTGTTTTGTGATTACCAACTCCCCATGGAACCTCAGGTGCTTTACAAATGAGGAAAAACAAGAGCGAGAACTAAACAGAGATTTTGTAATCACAGGCATCCTCTGAGGGTCATTAACGCCCCTTTTTACCGTTCCTTGGCCCGGGCTCGATGAGCTCATAGCACTTTCCCTGATTTTTTTTTTTTCGTCAAGGGACGGATTTTAATTTTTTAACAGTTATTTTTGTTGGATCGTCGAGTTTTTTGTATACGCAGCACGCCGTGTTCATTCACTGGAAAATACAGCGGGAAATACCGAGTGATCTAACAGGTCGTTAAATCTGCATTTCATCTTCCTGCAGGTGAGTTTGTTAATTAATTGTGGATTTATTAATGGAGGCATCGAGGAGTCCTTGTACTGTTACATTTTTTATTGAAAACAGTAAAAATCTGTGATTTTTCAACTGAGAAATAGTTAGCTAGAAATTTCCAAGTGTATACATCTCTTCGACGATTTTCTATGAGAATATGTGAAGGACATGTCTTGCACAATTTCTACATTTATAAACAATTAAGGGGATTAAGTACTCTGGGAAATTTTTTCGATGTAATCGTTTTCTAAATTTGTAGTTGAATATCAGAGCTTCCACTTAGGGCTCGTTTGACCGTTATTGCCCAAACTTCAAAGGTACTCTTTAATAATTTTTTTTTTAACAATCAAAAATCATTTTGATAATCACCCTGTCGCCGTGAAAAATACCGGTCTTATGTAATTTTTATATATCATTACGGTAAATTTGAACGAATCATATATGATATGTATACATAATATTCATTAAAACTTGCGTCAAAAAATTGTCGGCTTTTCCACTCGAATAGAATACAAAATCTCCTGAAATTCATTTTTTATTTATCTTTCTGAATTCATTGTAATTAGCGCCGACATTTTTCAGTTATTAACATGTCACCATTTCTCATCGATTTCGCCTCTTCTTTCATTCTCCATTAACTTCGGTGGGGGTGTAATTAGCGACGGACTTTCATCCAGCACGAGTTCTGTCCCCTGAAACTCAAGGATAATGAATTTTGACAAATTTTTTTTCAGCCACCGCTGTATTTTACCGAACTTTTCAAGTAGATTTCGATAATCAATACATCCTCCCTGCTCAAGATGATTTATCAATCTATTACTTATGCGAGAATGGTCGATGTAAGGGAATAAAAAAACGAAATAATGAAATGATGGGGGGGAGGGAAGAAAAAAGTTGATTTTCGAGTCTGTCAGAGGCTCTCAGGTAGGTCGTGGCGGAGTGTCTGTATGTGTGTTGGGAAAGGGGGGAGAATGAAGGAACAGAAAGGCGATAGAGTAGCAGAGGAAGGCGTATAGTTAGGGGAGTAGCTGGGGCTTAGTAAAGAATGAAGATGAAGAATGGCGGTGAAGATCTCCAGCCGGTCGTCAGTCGGTGGTCAACCGTCCTGAGGTAGAGACGAGGTGCGACATAAGCTCTTCGGTGCTAAACTAGATTGATTAATCATTCAGATAACCATAAAAATCCTCAGGGAGAGACCCAGCTCCATCACCTATTCATCTGCATTGCCGTGTCTCAAAAATGTGAGGACCGGAAATTGAGGTCAATGTTCGGAGGTTGAGAGGATCAAGGGACCAAACAGAGCAGTCTCCAGAGGCTCGATAATACTTCAACAAGAATTAATCAATTCTCCTAGACTCTCCAAGTGGATTAATGCGTTCACCAGAAACCAACCAAGTTCCTCTACATCAGACTGCAGATTCTGTCTGGGGTGTGTTTTTTCTCCTTTAATTCAATTGAATTATAATTTTCGCAAGTTCATCACTGGATAGTCGCTGAAGACGATCAGCTGATTGCGACTGGGAGAAAAAGCACTTGAGGAGTTCTGGAAAAATTCAAATAAACTCGAAAGTGAATTCATCATCGAGTGAATACAAACGTCAGTGTTTACCGTGACATTGAAGTGGATAAAACGAGGGAACAAGAAAGAACACCCTACACACGCGTACCGCATAAATTACGACTGCAGTATTACGCATAAATCAACAGACATTATATTCCACTGCCGATTCAATCCCTTGCACACTTAATGTCCTTTTGTTCGGGTTAATGGTAAAACGTTGGAGAGGAATATGACGTGACTGAGCCCGGTGAAATTGAAGTTGTGACGGGTTCGGAGAAGTGCACAGGGGGGAGAAATGCATCTTTCCTTGGTGTTTATGTGAATAAGACGTTTGAGAATTACTGAGACCTCATAAAAGATAAAATGGCATCGATGTGTGGGAGCAGCAAGAGCCATCCTGCTTTATCAGTCAGCAGTTACTACCGGTCTGGGCCCTATCCCTATCAGGTGAGTCAATCTTCTCATTTTCAAGACAGCACGAGAAACTATTTCCGGTTTAAATTAACGCATATCCACCCACACCGTGGGATATAAAGTCGATTTAATGAAAAAAATGTTAGAATGACAAATACTTGTAGTTAAATTTCAACTGATGGTCTTAATCGTAAAATCGTAATCGAAATATACCGATAAAAACAAAGGCATTGGCACGAGCTGGGTATAAAATCACATGTAAAAAGAAAATGATACCTGGGGAGGTGTAAACTGTTGATCCTCTTATTCATGTAATTCACATGGGCAATTAAGAAGATTGCAAGGATCGCTGTGAGAAACAATGGCAAGCCACACCGTGGAAACCTTAACCTTGGGATGAAGAAAGGCCCATTGCATAATGGGCCGTAGCCACATGCGGCCGTTTCAAGTTCACGCCTGCACACAATCGCCTGGGGCTGATAACTTTCTGGATTTACGAGAGATCCAGCCAGACATTTTTATCGCATCAAACTGAATGCCTCGGCCTCTTTTACAATTTTCCAAATCCAAGGGGCACATCGAAACGTTATGGATAATTCGTCCATTCCTTCGGAATAGGCAAATCAAAATAATAGTCGATTCATTTTGCTGTTACGCCAGGGGGTCAACTACTCGGTGGAAAATTATCGATAACCATTTCACGAACTACTCTCATCTTTTCTCATGCTTCTTTGCTCATTTGGATCGTTTGAGACGGCTTGGGAGATGCGCAATTGCCCAAGAGAAAGGGTCTCGTTGTCTCTTAACCCCTTTTGCAGTTCATCCAGAGATGCCATGAGAAAATCCACAGATTAATTCATCCTCGCGGTATTTTCGCATTTTTTTTTTTCAATACCTGTTATTTTAAAAAATTGAGTTTAGCAGAGAATGTTGGGGGTGGTGATTTGCTTTTTGAGACATCACGGATTTACTTGGTTACAGATTTTTTTTTTTCTATATTGCCGGTCCCTAGGTTTATCTGGTCTTTTGGTACATGGGCCCGTTAGCAAGAGTCACCCACCTTGCGGCCGCGTTTGAGATAAAGATAGTGATTATCTTTATGCTAATCGTGTGCGGCAAGTTCGGAAAGCGTTCACCTCGCAAGTAACCAGAGTAAAAAGGGAGTAAAAATAAAAATTATATGTGTAATACTTATTTTCTCGATGGGTTTGCTGCCTCCAGTGTTAAATCGATTTAAACGAAAAAAGTATTTTCTTAATTCGGTATTGTATACTCGTTCATTCGACCCTGCAGTCCACGCAGGACAAGGCTAATTTTTAGAATAAAGGTATAGAGCTCAGTAATATACTCATATACTCTACCATTACTGTATCTTTTCGGAGAAAATATTTACGAAAATTATGCACAAAAAAATTTTGAATTCTACAAAATATTTCTCAAGATTTTTACAGTTCATTACAGATTAATTTCGAAAAAAAAGGAATATTCTTATTTTTCTCATCTTTGTTCAATTTTCCGCCTCAATTTCGCGAATTCGTGATAAAATTCCGAATATAAATTCGCCATGAATTTTATCATGGAAACGAGAATAGAATTTCCATCAAACGTGTTCAGCTGACCTAAGCCAGGAGTGGCTATATGATCGGTCTCGCCGAATGAATACGTGAGCCATGGACCACTATCGTGGTAACCCAGGTACAGTTATTTCACTGGCATACTTTGGCCCCGGAATACCAAACAAGCCAAGGTGATTGAAAGTGGGGAAAAAGGACATGTTTAATACAAATCTACCAATGACGCGAGACGAAAACAATCAGGAAAGGTCTTGCAATCGCAAGACATGTCCCAAAGATTTCAATTGCTCTTCACCAACTAGACTAATCAATTTTTTACCATCTCCAACCATTTATCCTACTCTCTCTGTAGTTATCTTGTTAATTCGCGAAGAATTCATCCGATTGTCAATGCACGGGCAGTTGTTTCCGGGAAAATAAAAATTTTTTCTTCAAACGGTTCCTTCGTTTGTTATATGAGCCTCAAAGGCTTGTTTGCCCTTCATTGTGCTCAAGCCTGGAGGGCACTCCATGGTTTATTGTTCATGCAAACAACCATCGATGCATTCTTTTTATTACACTTCATCGCCGCTTCATTTGCGTTTATCTCTGACTGTGAGATTGCCAGGTATTTTAACTCCTCCTACACTCGGTTTGATCGAGCCTCTTGTGCATTTTGTAAATTAAAGATCGGGCTGCTTCATTTCTTTATGGATAATTTGAATTTAAACCGTGAGATCTAATGGGATTGTGCCCAAGGGGCTTGCACATACACCTGACGAGCCAACGCATTTCGAATCTTCTTCCGATGGTATGCTATCTGATTCCTTTGGTTCTCCAAGTGCATGCCATTGCTCAGGAAATCTTCTCGTTCCATTCACGCCTCTTCAGGTATCCCATATCGACTTCCATCTCTACCATGTCGATGAACCACTCCATGAACTATTAACGATGGTTTCCCCCATGAATAATGGATGCATGGACAAGTGACAAACCCACTCGCGCTTTCTGGAAAGTACCCATAAACAATTGTGTCACATACGGTAACATAATTTGCACTGAAACCGGTGATTAGCATTGAGAAACGAAAATCCTTGGAGCACCGCTGAGAAAATATCGGCCCCGTGGGAATACCAATCTCATATCTGTTCTATTCTGTCCAACGCCCATCACAGGGACCCTGATTTTATATTTTTTTCTCTCATTTTTTATCCTCACACCGTAAATTGTAACAATGACGCATGCTCCCACACCTAGATTGCATAAACAAGGAGTCATCACTGCAAAGTCTTCCCTCTCCACTAATGAAGCAGTTTATTATTTCTCTCGGATGATTTTTCACAGTTAATTTTCAATTATTGGATTATTGGATAATTTACATAATTTTGAGTCGGGAGTCGGTGGCCGGGAATTTGAACAGGAAAAAAAAGTGGAATTTTTATACTTTGTCCCAGTGAAAACGACAAGTATAGGGCCCTGGGTACCTCTTGTCTTTTTTGTCTGGCATCAAAGTTACTACAATGGTTGCGTTCCAACAGTTAGGTTCAACGGACTCAGCCGGAATAACGCAGGGGTACTTCTCTCATGTCCATGGTAGCAACAAGTGTCTTTTTTCTCTGTACAAACTACTATCTCGCTGCACCTCAGCATATTTACCTCATCCCACTCTCCTTTCGTTTGCTCCTGTTTCTAGATACTTGAGTCACATCAAGTCATCCAGTTGCGCCCATGAAAGTGTTCCCATTATCGAAGGATCTTCGTTTCTTGGAAAATAATCCGCTTCGATTAGATCGGTTACGTGATTTGAATAATAATAATGTCATCAAATCTGTCTCAATACATTCTCAAATTCTTGAATGAATTTATGAATTTTTACGTTGCAAAATAATTTTATCGTTATTCCCAGTTTTAAAATTGTAGATGCGGAAATATTTGGATGTTAACAGTGGGTAATTGACCCATTTGAATAAATTAATAAAATATTGGAGATGCCGTGGATAAGGATCTCGTGAATTGATACCATCCAGTGGATTATTATCACGTGAGGATGCGTATGAAAAAAAAATTGACTTTGAAGTCTGACAACTCGTTACCTCGTAACAGCTTCTTCGTAGCAGTTTAGCTATCTCCTGTTGATCTCGAGATGAAGTCCGCTTTGCCAGTTTTACTCGATTCATCTCCCTTTCCCCATCCCCCACTCGGTAATATCCCCCAGGACATCAGGTGGAATATTATGGTGGAGTGAGGTCGCGTACTCGTCGAGGAATTCACGTGGAGATGCTGTTGCATACGATGGTGGCTGTGATGCAGTCGGAGATTTTGATCTGAGTACTTGCGTATCCTGGTAATGTATTACTTAAGCCGTTGGAGGTCATTGATGCCCAGGGATTTCATTCGCGCGCCTTTTCTTCGGTTTTTTTTTTCATCTCAGGTCATTAAATAAGGAGTTAGTGCAAATCAATCTATCCGCTGCAGAACTTCCGGTTTGAAGGAATTATTATTTAAGGGAACACTTGAATTCTGATGGTAAATTTTACTGCTGAAAAGTCATCGACTGGGAAAAATATCTCGTGATGCTCTGAGTGATGCACACGACAGGCGATTTGGCGTGCATCACGCCCCGAAGTGTCTCGGCATCGGGTATGAAATCCGGGTCGACAATTATATTCAAGTTCACCTCGCTCAATTGAAATACAATGGCATGGGAGAACTTATTCGTTGGAGAATGGATTTCGCTTTGTTACACCTTGAGATAACTTGCTGTCGTCCATCAACGGTGGAATCGTCGGGAACGGTCGCTGATGATGCACCGACGTCAGGAAAAAAATTCCAGATCATCTCCATGGAGTTCCACTTAGCTGGAGGTTATTCTCACGCATTTTCAGGGCCCAGACACGATGGGGAAGGCTCAGGTTTTTTTTTTCAACTACCAATTTTATGGGGTCCAGGCACGGAATTTTGTTGTTTCAGAGCGATTGTGCTATATGATGAGAAGAACCCCTTGAAAATTCAGTTTCAGCTATTAGACCGTTACGAACTTTAACCACCAATCTGATAAAAAAATCTAACACTTCGACTAACAATTACATAGTAAAACTCCAATCGGTATTAAACATGAAACATGGGGTGGAAGAGTTGGGAAAATTGTGTAAATAATTTTTCTCTGTTTTTTTCTCTCAGTGCCCACCGGAAATGTAATCCTGTTGTTGTCCTTGATTTCAAAGTCGTTAAATACAGAGTGAATAACATGCGAATGGTTGATAGTGTCAGGAACAGATTTTATGCGGGGAAATATTTTGGGCGTTTATTGAGAAAGCGGATTTTAATGCGGTGGTGGAAAGTACATGTTCTCGTGCGATTTAATGTTCCAAGTTTATGTTCAGAGGTGCGTTAGCGTGGGCTCGTCTATTTTGACTTCACCTGGTGGTAGATGAAGAAGGGCAGCATGGAGTCGAGGATAAGACAGATTATTCAGTTGATCTCGTCGTCTTCGCAGGAATTCAACAATGGGAATCGCGATGTCCGCTGGAGCTGCAAGTCGCATTTTTTTTAACAAATTATGATCGACTATATAAACTAATTAAATTTCTTTTCCACTTCATGACTGGAATATAATGTAGCATTAAATGGAATTATAATTACTCACAGATGTCTATTGCAGTCTCAGTCATGTCTAAATCTATTGTAGAAACTGAAGAGACAAAATCGACGCATAAAATAATTCCAATGATCCCGATAATCAGTTTCATCTCGACTGCAGTTGAATTTTCCGATTTTTTTCACTTTCAAAGCACAAATTCTGGATAATTCCGCATTCACTAATGATAATTGAAATTTTAATGAATATACGAATCGAATCACGGGTTTTCTAAATTTATTTCTGGCGTTTTGTCCTGATCAGTGGTTCACCTACTAGTTCGGGGTTGGCGACCACTTCTTTTGTAGCCGCTAATAAAAATGAAAAGAAAAATCTATAAAATTAGATTTGAGGGGCAAAGGGTCATTATAGTTTTTTTATTCAATTATTTATGAGAGACTTACCGATGGCGATAACAAGTGCAGCGATTGAAAGGATCGCGAAGATTATCCCGAGAAACTTCATTACAGAAACGAAATTTACTACTCAAGGCAATTTCTATTAGTGTCTTCTATTTGCCTGGGACTTCCTCTTATATGAGTCTCAGGAGGAAAATTAAATTGACGAACCGCAGTCCAGACCTCTTCCGATGGAAACGGAAACCCAACAATTAATAAAAATAATTTACATACGAAACGAGAATAAAGTTTTTTCGAAACGTCCTGCTACCCTTACTGAAGATAAAAAATTCATATAAGAAGAACAGTACAGCTCAATAAAAAAGATTTTGCAAATTATTATTAATTATTATTAATTAGGAAAGGTTTGGCAATGAAGACAAATTCAAAGTTTATGCAAGAAATACAGAGATGTCATTCAAAATTTATTAAAAATTACTGCAATTAGATTACAACCGTGTAACGTTTTCAATTTCAAAGTGTAAATGAATTAATTAGTGGGATGGGTTCAATCGTTAGCGTTTTCTGCCGAAGAAACCGAATATTTTCTTGAAAAAGTCTCCGATGCCGCGTTGCTGTCTCGAAAGGCCCTCCAAATCCTCCGCTAATTACGGAAAAATAAAGGTCTTATTAGTATACAGAAAAATTCTGGAATTTGAGAGAATGATTCGATGAACTTACGACTGCCCACGACAAGGACATTGTTTCCTTCATCAGGGATCGCCGTGGACGAAACCAGAACAGCGATTGAGAGAATTGCAAATATTAAAATCAAGGATTTCATCGTGAAATCAGAAATTACGTATTCGAGGTTTATAAAGATTATAATGTCCGCTTTGTGATGGAGGCTCTCTTTATACAACTCCTCGGCGGAAAAATTTCAAGTAACAAGGATCAGGCAGGATTTTGGTTTCCGTTTCCGATGAATGGAAAAAATCAAAATTATTTAATCAACCGTGATATGATCAATGATACGAGTGATCCGGCGGATATTAGGCTCTTCCTTATAAACTTAAATATATTTATTTATAACTACAATGAAGGTCGTCAGTGGAATAAAATTTTAGGCGAAAGGGTTCTGATAATGAGAAATCTCTCCCTAAAATTTCGACATTTATTGAAAATTATCCAGACATGGAGGAGATGCGTTGGTCGGAATAATTACCGAAGAATTTGACAAGAGCAAATTTGAGGAGCAAATGATCGTATAACTTGTGAAACCAATCCTCTATTTGCTCGTGTAGCTCTCAGTTTGTCATTGGTCAAACTAGCTAAGGAAGAAAATGATACTGTGTACCGAACAAGAAATTCGAATTGAAATGAAAAAATTTTGTAAAAGTCGAGATTGGCCAGTTTCTTTACGTCAAATTTTTTTCCAATATGAAGAAAATTTCTGGAAAAAGTTCATATAATATCATTTCCTTTTCCTTTGATGAGCGTGATAAAGGTGCTCTGAAGTTCCGAATGAGAAATTTCCTTTTTATACGGGTTGGAAGTGGAATTAAAATACCCCCAAAAATAATTAAGAATCCACCGAAATGACTTGCGGTTGGTGATAGGAGTTCATACACACTGCGTAATTCCACCGAGACAAAATCAAGTTCATAGTTCATATTAATATTAAAAATATATTAATCTAATAGTCAGGAAGACATTACAAGAACTGGTAGTCGATGAAAAATTGTGAATGAAAAAAAAGAATCTGCGATTGATGATAGCAAATGGAAAGAATTTCTTGATAATATTCATAAAATTTATTGAAAATTGTTTGAATACATGACCAGAGGAATTGTTCGTTGTTTTTTATATTTCGATAATTGGAAGATATTTGTGCATATATTTTGAGGTGCTGGTCAACCCCAACGAGCTCCGAAGTAGCTGCCGAGACCAGAGGCAACTGTTCGTAACGCAGTTCCAATCCAAGGTGCGCGTTTTCCCCGTTCACCTCCTAGTTCGCCATTAAGCATATTAGCTAAAAAAGAAAATATCAAGGATTAATTGTCAAAGAATATCTCTCCATATAATATCATCAGTATTTTTTCGTGTGGGGTAAGTCAAAGTTGAAGCAATCATTCAAAAAAACTTACGATCTGCAATGATTACATTCATGTCATCTTCCGCTGGGATTGGAACAGAAGTAACGAGAACTGCAATTGATAGAATCGCTAAAATTCCAACAAAAAATCTCATTTTCAAATTTAGCACAGGGTTCCTTTGGTGCACGTGATGGAGGTTCTGAAGCTCTCAATGGAGAAGGATGCTCTTTATACAAATTCTTTACAGGAAACTAGAAACCCGAAGGAAACGGAAGGTGAAAACTCAATTGATAAACACGAGGGAAATTGAATTAGAATATTCTTGAAAAAATATTAATATAAGCGCATTGCGAAATCCCACTGAGACAAGCATTAGGATTTATCCATAGGAGGAATACGGACTTTAATGATAACTTCATACATTTTGGGGTATGGAATTCAAATTATTACATTCGTTTCAATTCATAAAATCAGTTTTGTCCCTAGATAGGAAAAATAGTTTCTGGTAGTTAGAAAAAATTTTAGCAATATTAGAAAATTTCGAGAAATGATTCGAGGAAACTTACGATCTGTGATGAATATTAATATTATATTATATTATTATTTTGAATATTCATGTCTTCGTCCGCTAGCAATGGAACTCTTTGCCGGACGCTTCAAAACTAAAAGGAAACGGAAGGTGAAAATTCGAGCATAATGTGATAAACTGAGCGAAGTGGAATTAAAATATCCCCAACAAAACTTGAGAATCCACCGGAATGACTTGTGGTCGTTGGTGATAGGAGTTTGCACACACCGCGGAATTCCACCGAGACACGTATTGATATTAAGAATTCTTGAATTTCCATGACCCCGCCCCGGATGAAATTTCTGTGAATTCTACCAGAAATAATCATAGATATTGCTTTAAGAACATTTTTCAATTTTTGATTACAAGAAAATAGATTATTCTGATAGTCGCAGGAAGCCATTTTCCATAAAATTACTGTATTGATAGAATTTTCAATTCGTAAAGTCAAAAAAATTGGTAGTCGATCACAAATTGTGAAATGATTTCATGATAATATTTAGAAAATTTATTGAAAATTATTGGAGTACAGAATCAGAAAAATTGTTTTTTGTTTTTTATATTTCGATAATTGGGAGATATTTGTATATATGTTATGAGGTGTTGGTCAACCATGGCGAGATCCAAAGTAACTGCCGAGACCAGAGGCAAGTGTTCGTAACGCCATTCCGATCCAAGGTGCGCGTTTTCCTCGTCCACCTTCTATTTCGCCATTCAGTATATTAGCTAAAAAAGAAAATATAAAGGATTAGTGTCAAAAAATATCTCTCCATATAACATCATAAGTATTTTTTCGTGTAGGGTAAGTCAAAGTTGAAGCCATCATTCCGAAAAACTTACGATCTGCAATGATTACATTCATGTCATCTTCAGCTGGGATTGGAACAGAAGTGACGAGAACTGCGATTGATAGAATCGCTAAAATTCCAACGAAAAATCTCATTTTCAAATTTAACACAGGGTTCTTTGGTGAGCGTGATTGAGATTCTGAAGCTCTCAATGGAGAAAGATGCTCTTTATACAACTTCTTTGCAGGAAACTAGAAACCCGAAGGAAACGGAAGATGAAAACTCAATTGATAAACACGAGGGAAATGGGATTAGAATATTCTTGAAAAAAATTAGAGGGGACTTGCGGTCGGTGATAGAAATACAAACACATTGCGAAATTCCACATTTTTAGTAGGAGCAATGCGGGTTTTAATCACGACTTCATACATTTTTGGGGTTGAAATTCAAATTATTACATTCATTTGAATCATTACATTAGTTTTGCTCCTAGATAGGAGAATAAATTTCTAGACGTCAACTCGCAGGGATAGGTAATTATCTCTGATTATTTTTGGTAGAATTCACAGAGATGTCATCTTTGTTGGGGTCATGAAAATAAAAAAAAAATTAATACTAGATAGTGTACGCGCTTCGCGCGCTCATTCCGAACCTGTCTCGAAAGGCCTATTTATAAGAGGATATTTTGGGTCATCTGAACATCAGTTTCCGTGACGGTTTTCGACATTTTTCAAAGGGAATTAAAAAAAATTGAAACTCCTATCACCAACCGCAAGTAATTTCGATGAAATTTTCACTTCCCTTTCCTTCAGGTTTTGAAGCTTCCTGCAGAGAGTCCCTATAAAAGCATATTTCAGTCAGAGCTACCGAGTCTTCATCACGTTCACCCTGTGCTAAATTTGAAAATGAAATTTTTGGTTATTGTCCTCGCTATTCTGTCCATCGCAGTCCTCGTCGCGTCAATTCCAGAGCCAGCAGACGAAGACATGAATATTGTCATCGTGGATCGTAAATTTCTTCAAATAATTTCTCACAACAAGAAAAAATGATTATGATATTGCATAAACTTTTTAGACGCATTTTCTTAATGTTGAAAAAATGTGTTTTAAAATTTTTTTCTTGTTAATTAAGATTTGTTATGTCTGGTGCACAATATTATTTACTTCTTCAGCTAATTTGGTCAATGGCGATGTGGGAGCTACACGGCCAAAAAGATATAGGTCCGAACCACGTAACTGGGATCCTTATGGCAGTTTCCCTGGTCGTTATGGCAAATGAAGACGTAATTTCAATTATTGGTATGAAAAAAGGAATGAACTCTGATTCGCATCTGATTATGTACTCTAGCCTAAATAATTTTCAATAAATCTCAAAATTTTTCCAAGACATTTATCATTATCAGAACCCTGATGCCTAATAATTTATTCTACAAGCATGGCCGATGCATGACAGTTCTTAATAATAGTATATTTCGTAACAAGTGCGGAAAAATGATTTTCTGCACGAATGGCGACCAAGAGTTTTTTCCACTTCGTTTCGCGTGCCTAAAAAATGAATTTTCGGGACATCGTGCTGGAAATACATTTAATTTTGTAAGGAAGAGTTTAATATCCACCGGATCACTCGTATCGTTGATCGTAACACCTTTGAATAAATAATTTGTATTTTTTTCTATTCATTGAAAACGGTAAATAAAATCCTGCTTGAAATTTTTACTCCTGCGAATTGCATAAAGAGAGCTTTCATTACGATTCGTTCGTCTGACCACCACTCATTTATTGATTTTCTTTTTGTTACATTATTATTAGCAGTAAGTTATTATTATTTTATCGTGATATCCAGAGAGAGCTTGTCCTTGAGGAATATAAATTTTCAAGTCTTCACTGTCGACTTCGAGAGCCGAAGAAACTTCCAATCCCAGAGGCCAGTCCTCGCACCAATAGTCCGATAAATGGTGCACGTTTTCCTCGAATTCCAGGACCCCCATCGCCTTCAACCATATTAGCTAGGAAAAAAAAATCGAAGGAATTTTTAATTCGGAAATTCTTCACGATTTCACTGAACTTGAAATAAATTTTCAACAATGCAGATATTTATTTCTCGGAGTGATGTTCTCGGTTCTCTGCAAATCATAAAAACTTACGACCCGGAATGATCAGACTGATGTCATCATCTCCGCCTGGGGCTGGAATTGATGAGACTAGTACAATGATGGAGAGGAGCGCAAAAATCGTAATGAAAATTTTCATTTTTAATTTAATGCGGTGACGACTTTGGGAAAGGTCTGAGGCTCTGCCTCCGGGAGAATTCCCTTTTATGTAAACCCTCCACAGGAAAATTGCCCGAAGGAAACGGAAGTAGATGAAGAGATTAATTTGAGAGCGATAAACATGTGGGAAAGGAGATTTCAATAATTATACATTCCGGGAAAAACTTGTCTCGCATTAAGACGTTCTTGAAGAAGGTTGGAAATCATAGGAAAGGACTTGCGGTTGGAGATAAAAATCCTTATAAATTGCGCATTTATTTTTAGAAATCATCTTTCGATGGCCAAATTGAGATGAAAAAGAACTTAATCCAAAGTGAAAGGCTATCAACAATCGTCCTAATTTTTTAATTCATCAATTATTCCTTTTTTTATATCAGGCTATTTTGTTGTTGTCCCACCAGCTGCTTCTAGAATTTAATCCTCTTCCTCAGATTAATCCCCGGGATTTCATTAGTTCAATTATTCACACGGAGCCAAAAACCTAAAAGAATTGTTAATCAATTATTTACATGCAGACAACCCCTAGATATTTCTCTGTAATTCTCACCTAAATGATCAGTGAAAAACACGATCAATGTCTCCTGGTTCTCCAGCTGTATTAATTATCTCAAAGTTAGCGTCTGTATTGTCCAGAATATCTAATCAATACAAAAGTGAAGAATTGAATATCTCAGATCTAATTAATAACACAAAACACTCTAAAAAAAAATTTGTCTCTTCAAATTACTCTAAATCAAATTAAACATTAACTTTTTTTCCTTGTAATATTTCTTTTGGGTGAACTGTACATTAGAAAATTCAGGGAAATCTTACAAGTTCCCACAACACCTCTGGATGATCCACGCACTGGTCCATCGATCATTGCAACGGATCCTGATGACACAAACACGGTAAAGGAAAAAATCACAAGAATTATTGCAAATAACTTCATCTTTGAATCTGAGAGCGTCTCTCCGAGGTTTCTTGATACTCTGATGTCTCCGGGATATGTGAGGACTTTTATACAACTCCTTGGTCCACGATTTCTTCGATCGCAGGTGTACGAGGAAATGATCGAGAAGGAAAATGTGGTATGAAGAGGATAAAATCATCCAGTATTTTTTCACGATCAATCTATTTATCGATTAAAACCGGAATCATCTACGCGCTCTAACGTCTGATCTTACAGCCGCCGCCTCGAGACGCATCGCATCATAATTTCAATTTTACGATTCATAAAATTCCATATTCATAGTTTGATTATGTGTAAAGAGAGCACTTTAACGCGGATGCTACTGCAATCATCTGCACGTGAGAAATGTAAACATAGATTAACAACTTTATGAATTAACTTTATGAACATTAGATAAGAAAAAACCGAAAGTAGTGATAGAAAATAAAGTTTTCAACTCAATTAGTTCGATTTATGGATAATTTATGGATGATTTTCAAATACAATTTTTTAATGAAGTTAGACTATATTTAAAAAATATAATCTTTCAATTTTTTAAATTTATTGAATTTCAACAAATTCGCATGACATTCCGTAATCATTTCAGCCCATCATCTTCATATTTATCAGGAAATCGTCCGGATGAATTCTCCCCTTTTTTATTTTCCATGTGGTGGCCCTTTGAGTATGAGTTCTGCCCAATGTGGGGCACGATCAGCATAACGTCTCGCCCTTCCAACACTCAAATCTCCCTCGACTGATGAGTCCTTGATGATTGGAGCTAGATTTATAATTATTACACGATCATTTACCCTGACATTGTAGCAAAACAAATAATTCCTCTATGAAACAAATAGGCATTAAATTTATGCAATGCTTTACAATCGAATGAATATTCAAAATTGTTTGGGGAAAATAACTTACGAGCTTTTTCCTCATCCGATGAAGAACTGATATTTGCGCTCTCGGAATCGAGAGGAAGTGATGAGACCATCACAGCGATGGACATAATTGCCAGGATCACA